AAGAAATTTCTCTCCGGGCATTTATGATTTTTAAATGAGATAAAAGAATTAAAATCTTTGTTTGGTTTGAAAAACTGGTGATATAGGGGATAGCATTTCCCTTTTCGTACTTTATATTTTCACTTCTGCTATAAATCTACATTTTAAAGAAACTTTTAACGAAAGTATAATTAATGGAGGTATTGGTGTGTCTCTTTACAGAACATGACAATTTTTAACCGATAGCGTATAAATAAATTTAAGTGAATTCGAAAGTCTGATCTCTCAATAAAGGGATCATATCTCCACATCAAAGAACACACACATCACAATTTATTCGGATAATTTTTTATAAAAAGAATTTTAAAAAGTTAGATTAACATACTCCGTCACTTACAAATTGCATTTTAAAACAAATATTGTCATATTTTGTAATTACAAAGGCAAACCACGAAGTATCTTGTTTATTTAAAAAATTTACTTGCATATTTGCAAAAATATTATAAACACAGCTAATGTAATAAATTAAAATTAAAATTAGAATATTAATTGAAAATATTATTTCGCTTCTTAAAATAAACGAAATCAGGAATTCTTAATTGTACTAATAAGTATACTGAATGAAACTTTTAGTTTTCACCTCTAAAAGCTTTAGTTTAAAAAATGTTAACAATAATAGTTAGAAGCAATTTCCAAACATTAAAATGCATCTTTTCCTAACATTGGTTTTAACATGATAAGATTAAATTTATAAATATAAAATTATATTATAAATATAAAATTATAAATATAAAATTATACTCTTTTATAAAATTTTTTTCTGCACAGTTATACATTCATTAGTTCTTTCAAAAAAAATGAATTCATTAAGAGTTAAAAACAGATTTCATATTTCATACAAAAATTTTATTAGATGTAAAAATTATTTTTTATTCTTAATTATCTCAGTTTATTTTTATTCAGTTCATTTTATTTATTCTCATATCTTAACAGTTCACTCATCATTCATTTTTATAATAATTTGTTCATAAAAATAAATTTCATATTCAGAAAATCTAGTATGTTTCGTTGTCTTTGCTACACATTATGAGCAACTTTAGTATTCATTGAGAATCTGGCAGTAATTCATTTTCAAGCATTTCATTAAAATTCTGTCAGTTATTTTAAATTACATTAAAACTCCATCAGTTATATGGTTTGATCAGTTTCCATTACTGCATAGATTTAAATTTTTAAGGTCTCCTTTACATAAAATTAGATGCAATATGTAATAAAAAAGAAGGGGTTATAGTTTTATTCATGGAATTTATCCACAAGGATACATGATCCCAAAGCATTATCAAATATTATATTTCCCTCGATTTATTTAAAAATTTCATTAAAAATAAATTAATAATTAAATGATAAATAAATAAAACTAATTTACTGGAGAAATTATATTAACACCACAAAAGTCTATATTTAAAAATGATATATAATTAAACATCTAAATTGAAAATAAATGAAAATTAGGCCAAATATATACTTACTTTTAAGAAAGTTAAATTTGTCACATTTACGAGTTCACATTCCATGCTAAGGCAAATTATTTGAAATAAAATAAAGTTTTCAATGGTCAAGAGTAACAGAACATTTTTCATGGATGTGCTGAATAAAAAATACTGCCAAGTGGACATAGTAATTTAATTTTAATTTATTTCTTAATATTAAATTTGAATTTATTTTCTTAGGTATTGCGTAAAATCATTTCTTGCAAAATAAAATCTGTATTCGCGCCAATGCCTTAAAAACTGACAGATGGTATGAGAGAGAATCATTGGCAGATGTAAATTAAGACACCTGTATCTTCGATACATCTTCGAACACACCAGATTCTCAGCGTTTTCCCATTTAATACAGCATAACATGTATAATATATTTTTCAAATTTAATCACGACCTGGACGATTAACAATATGAATGATTTAAAAGTAATAAATGCATTTCTTACTGATTTACTTCTTTATTTTCCTTTTAAATGGTGTACATATTTTACATAAATTAAATAGATTTAATTTATATCATTCATTAATGATAACTTTTATGAACTTTTTGAAAATTTTCTTTAGTTTATAAAACATGTTTCTAATCGCATGTTACATAACGGATGCAGAATCCGTCATTTAATTAAATTTTATGATGGTTTACATTTTTACAAAATGTAATCTGAAGATTTCAAATTGCAATTACAAGTCATGATTTATTTATATTTATCATTATGTTTACATATCATTATACTTTATTAGCTCAAAAGAGAGTTAGCCCGAATGGCTACTAGTCCCGAAATGGGATTTCGCATTCTTCACTACAAACAGCTGTATCACTTTTCAAATACTGTGCGTTCTTGGTATCTAGTTACTTGAATGCAGTTTTTTTACCATGGGTTCAAATTCAAAGCATATCCATTTATAAAGTATTTCTCCCGCCTTCTTGGCATGCCTTCGTGGTGTAGTGGTCTGCACTCTATTTGTGTAGTGGTATTACAAAGGTCCTTGGCTCGATTCCCGGCGAAGGCGTTGCTCATTTTTCATCTCACCTGCTTGCACCACCGACGCCTTCAAACGCGTACAAGACATCATCTTAAATAACAGACAAAATAACCTTCATATATGTGTAATATGGCTTGACGTAGCGTCAGCATTCAATAAACTATGGTGGCCAGCACTCAAAACTAAATTGAAATACCTGCGATGTCCAAAACATCTTTACCAACTGATCACAAGCTACCTCACAGAACATCAAGTAACCTACAAAAGAGACACCTTAAATATTACGATGAATTACCACAAAGGAGCCCCACAAGGGTTCAATATTGGAACCATCCTGTGAAACATAATTGCAGGCTCAGTGCTAAACATCAACTTTTGAGACGATGCCAAGATACAAGCTTACGCCGACGATATTATACTCATAACAGATGGAGGCAATAGACAACAATAGAGCGTAAAGCAGACGTAGCACTTAAATTGCTTACAAAAATGGAGTCAAAACAACAAACTGTGTTTCAGCATTGAAAAGACACAGATGATAGTCTTTCCAAAGGGTTCAATAATAGATGCGAATCCACCACCCATAAAGTGGAAAGAGCGTCTACTGCGACACCATGATACCTTTAAATACCTCAGATTTACGCTTAATAAGAAGCTCACGTGGGTATCACATCTTGCGGAAGTCCGAGATAAGACGCAATCGAAGAACAAGCACTATGGTTAGGTACACAACCAGCAGCTCACACTTCAATCTTCACAGATAGCATGAGCGTTCTGACTGCGCTGAATTCCTTTCCTCCAAACCATTGGCACACGACAGCACTTAGAGAGATCCTCTTGACGTTAGGTTCCTCCATCCCTTTTAAGATCAACTGGATAAAAGGACACTCCGGGCAGAAAGACAATGAACGAGCTGATGAACTAGCTAAGACCGCAGCTCTGAAACCAGAAATTGACGAGGAAATTCCGCTTTCCATAGAAGTTGCGAAAAGGTTCCTCAAAGCAACATTCCAAGCGACATGGTCATCATGATGGCAGGAAGAAGAGACATTAAGATTTATTTACAACATCCTCCCAATACCTACTCTCAAGAGGCTCAAATGCAACCGACTCTTCCTCCAAGCCAACCAACCATGGGAAGTTACCCGTGTATTACAAGCGATTCCTCAGATAACTGTAGTGCCAACTGTTCTTGCGGTCTTCGTGGGGAAGACGAAGACACACTTTATTACCTGCTCTCCTAACCTCTGACAGAGCACCTTCGACAGCAGTTCTTTCCTTTCGACTACATCATATATCCTGTGAATAGACTGTTCACATCCAAGAAACTGAAGATTAATGTAAAATGTAAAAAGGCGGCTTAACCGTCAGAATGCTAGCAATGACTAGGATGACTTCCTAACCCTGTAGTGCCATTAACTTAGTTTGGCGGAACAGGTTAAATAAAGTGACCATATATCTCTCCATCTTCCTAAAAAATCCTGCTGTCTCTACACATTTATTACTGTAAGTATTATTTATATTTTGTTCGTTTAAACCGGAAACTGAGCAAGGGAAAGAAAAGGTGGGAGGACAGTTTATTTTCGCATAGTGCTATTTCTTTTCAGTGAAAATTACATTTAAACTTTTCGAAAAATATTTTCAAATTTTGCTGCAGTGTCACCTAAGTCCTCTCATCCAGACGCTTAAGTGCAAACGAAAATTTTATACTAATACCAGAATTGAGTCATTGTTATCTGGGATTACTGTAAAAATAGCCTTTCCAAGTTTAATCATAAAGAGCAGCGTACTGTTGATGAGACAACATAAAGAGCCGCCTGCTGCTGATGAAACAAAAATAATAAGTTAGAAACGAAGAATAAATGCCTTTTGAAAATTTGGGTGACAGACTTGAGCACTAGGGATTTATAGAGTCCTCTCTTTCAAACATGTCTTAAACATTATTATAATTTATTAGAAATTATTTTTATGTTATTATAAATTATGATATTTATTAGAAAGAAAAGTCTTGCGTTACATTTTGATGTAATTTTCTTCGCGTTTAAAATTCACATTACCGTGGTTTTATAATCAAGACTGTATAAAAGCGAGCTGTAATTAATATACACGTTTATTTATACGCTTCATTAAGAGCTCAAACCAGAAAAATATTAATAATAAAATAAAAGCTAATATTTTAAATGAATTTAAACTCGCGTTAAACAAAGTTTAATAACACCATATAAATATTATAATTTGATAAATAAACACTTTGCGAAATAAATCACTTCAAGAGCAAGACACAAACTTCCTATCCTAAGTTCTTGTACAGTATTTACTACAGAGCTCATAAAATATGGAAGGCAGCCGATAAAAGCTTAATTACAAATATATTAATATAATTCATTTTATGGGTAGTGTCTTAATATCTCATTCTCAAAGTATATAATTTCTACATGCTCCTTTTGTTCCAATTACTCACACAGATTTTATGTATTTTCAGTTATTGAAATAATTTTTTAAACATAAAAATGCTTTTATTAAAAATCAATTAACAGTTCATCTATGATCAGAATGAGCATTTATAAAGCAAATTTATTTTTTTGATATCACTGTCAGTCGGCATTTTTTCTCTCGGTGGTAACAACCGAAAGCCTTTCTTCTTAGCAGTCATCGTTTTAAGTCCTCTTCTCTTGTCTTTGCTGAAGCTTAGAGATCCATAGTGCATAATAGAGTTGTAATCGTATTCTAACAAAAGCTTATTTTCCATGGGTTTCAATTTTTCGAAATTGTGCTCACTACCTGAAATAATATATATATTTTAACTTTATGACTCAAAGCATATAATTTCCAAAATATGAGCTTCAAATGTAGAGTTAAAAAATGGGATTTATAAGTGCTTTGATGCTACATAAAACCCTTTCCCAACAAAGTCCAATATAGATAAACAACGTTATTTGACGCTGAGTTTCATTTTAGCAGAAACGCTTTCAGGAGTTGTAATCTATCGTTTTTTTTTTTTAGATTTATTAAATGAAAGACAATGAGTATCAGAAACAAAAAGTGAAATTAAAGAACTTTTAAGAACTTAGTAAATTAAATAATGACTCCCTCTACAGTGAAGTGTAAGGAAGAAATAACGAAATTTAGCATAATATATCAGCAAGCAAATGCGGTCTAAAGATAGAAACTGGAAACAAATTAAGAGTTTATCACTTTATACACTGGTGAAAAGCAAGTTTAGAATTCCTTAAGGTCATTGACTAATATTGAGATAATTTTCATAGTTATGGACAATTTCAAAAAGTCTAATTTACCACCTGAGGAAGTATTTTGAATGGTACTGGTAGAAGATAAACTAGAATTGCGGTTTTCACGCCAACAATGTTGTGTAGTAAAGGATTGATTTGTTTCCTTTTTTCGAATATAGGATCCATATTCATAGATAAGGAATTAATTTTAAAGCAGGCTTTGTTTATCCTGTGTACATTAAGCCAGACACTCAAGGAATGGTATAAATTCCGCAATAATTGTGTCAGATTCAGTTGCTTAAAACCCAAATTGTATATATTATCGGCAAAGAAAAATAACGCGAAAGTTTAAGTCTTGTAAAATATGCCCAGTGAATGTTATTTTTCATGCAAGCATAGTTTCGTGCTTATTAATCGTCGATTCAGAAAAATAATCTTTGCACTGTAAAATGCAACAGAAATATTTATGCAGAACATATCATTTCTTCTATTGATTGCTCCTTTGAGAGGAAGTAGATTACACTAAACTGACAACTTAAAGGTTCAAAACTAGCTCTTAAGTCATCACATATATTACACCCTACAATTTTTACTTTGTGTATGAGATAAAAAAAAGGCTTGTGCTATCTCTGTTCGTATAGCTACATAATTTTAAAAACTATTATCCTCTTTATGTTTTTCTTGCGATCAAAGAACGTTACTTTAAAACCCCGTAATTAAATTAGCTGTTTTTTTCTCATGCATTACCTGTGATACTGTGTTAATCAGTTTTAGAAGAAAAATAACTTGAAATCGAATCAACTATTTTACAGAACTTTATATTATGATATAACTGTAGTAGTATAAGCCAAGGGCAGATATTTATTTGTGTTTTCAAAAAGATACAGATTATTTAAATTTTATATACTATATTTTAGCTGTGATGTACAACACAACTAAAGTCATTATTTAGAATATGATTTGGTTTTAATCACGTGATTACTGCCGAGAGTACTCAAGAAAAAATCGACAGCCCTAAGGTAGCAAATCAGGTTGCCATATCAGGTTAAAAACATTAAAGACACGAAGTCATACGGTACAGAATAAGAATCAAGGACTCAGAAATTTTATAATATGCAAACATCAGCGTCTAGTTTAAAGCAAAAAATGTAGTATATTTCGAACTAAACATTTGTCGCTGTCTTTCGTTATGGAAGTACATTGTTTGACATTTTAATTACAATGAATTTAGCATTCTTTTATCTTAAATAACTTAATAAGTTTTAATCTCACATTTTCACCCACTGAGCTCCACCTATTAAATTACGAACAGCTCCACCTAGTGAGCAAACTGAAGAGGAAAGTTACCGAAAGAAAGAGACAGATAGCAATTATAAAATAAAAAGTGTAAACACTATTTAAAATCAAACTCTTCAATCAGTATAGTTGTTAGTGTGGTAGACACCATACTAATAAACTCTGGGTAGAATCTCGGAAAACGTTTTGAATGTTTGGTGATTAGCATAGCTATGGCATAAAATATAGCGAAGTATGACAATCCCTCGACCCGAAAGTCGACCTGTAGTCGATGACAAAGAAAGAGGTGCACGAGACCATCAAATTTGCTGTTTCTCAAACTTGTGATGGTGTTTATTCACTGCAGGTTATAGGCAAATTGAATGCTCACGCTTTCTTTCTCACTCCCTTAATCTCTCATGTAGAAAAGTTGAGAATGAACTAATAAATCACTAACTAAAGTTGTTAAACTTTTAAAATTGTTTCTAAAATCTTCATTACTAAAGAGTTAATTTTGCTAGAAATAATGCATTATAAAGAATTCCGAATAGAAAAAGGAATTAGGCAAGTCAATTCCTTTTAAGTAGAAAAGGAAAAAAGTAGGAAAATTAATGAATGAAAGAATAAAAGAATTCCGAAAAAAAATTTAACAAATTTGTAAAAGGATTTCAATTGGAAAAGGCAAGGTTCGTGTCGTTTAGTAAATGAAAAAATACATATAAAATTGAATAAAATACAAGAAAGATGTGAATAAGATTCCAATCTAAAAAATATACATTTTAACAACTTATATTTCAATAAAACCCCTTTTTATATCGTCTCTTTTGATTTTCGAAATTGTAATACCTGAATAGCTTAGAACGAGTTTTTTTTTTTTTTTTTACATAAAATTTTCTAGAAGCATTGAAAAATGCATAACGCGGATTATTCGAAATGAAATAAAAGCGGAGCATTTTTTTTTCCTTTTATTCACTTACTTTTTAAAACTTAGGATAAAATAATCACAGATATAAACCAAATCTTTCCTTATTTAGAGAGTCGAAGATCAGATAATATTTTGGAGCCGCTAGTTTTCTATAGCTGAAGGAAAATATAATCCTTATTCTGTTTGGGCAATTATTGAGAAAGACTAATAAGTTTAATATTTTTATATAACTCTAAAATTAAACATGTCTTTTTTATCAACATTAATGTCACGATTAGTGTGTTTGTAATCAACATGTATTAATTAGTGTCACAAAGTAATACAGAAAGCGTATGTAATTGATATGTATTATTGACCTTTCATAGAAAATGCATTTGAAAATATCTTAGAAACACCTGTTTTGCAAATAAATTTGGACAAACATAAATATTTCATTGGAAGCGATTACTTATGTAATTAATTTTATTTACCTTCCTTGATGTTTTCCCAGTGAATGGTGATATAGTCATCTCTGTCAGAACGGGTTTGCTCGTGATTAAATCCAATTGAATGAATTAGCTCGTGTAAGACCGTGCCCAAACTGTAGCAACCATCACCAAGAGAAAGACCCCGTTCTCCTCCATCTCCTCTTCCTAATTCCGAATTGCATCTGAAATATAGTGAAAAAATAATTTTACTGAGATCAGTTCAAATATAATGTAGTATTATATCAACTGTTATAAAGAAATTAGTCCCATTATCCCAGGAGCTAAGTTTTTCTTTACTGCTCCAAAAACCTTTCTGTATTCATAATGCAATAGAATTTTAAATATTTTCAGACTGAATGGATTGCAGTCTATCCAAATATTCAAAAAACCAGAGTACTTGAACATTTATTATTATTATGCGTTTTTATTTAGTTCCTTCATAGTGTTTTTCGCTATGGTCGGAAATTGTTTTTATTAAATTCAGAAACAATTTCTCCTGTATCCCAAAGTATCACATGGGACTTACATATGTTACAAGTATGAAAAATAAACATTAAAGGAAAAATTTTAAAACAAACTTACAAAGGACTGCAATAATTTACAATCAATTTACAAAAATAGTCAAAGGCAATTATCGGAAATTAACGTATGAAAACCAGGAGGACAAATTTTTGAAGACTTTTGACTTTTTGAAGTTTCCATGGCCAGTAAGGAATGTGCTCATGTTATAAAAAAATGATGACAAGAAAATCTCATTTTTATGGAAAGGGAAAATCTCTTAGTTAAGTTTCCTTTATTTGAACTAATGTAATCATTGTTCCACAATTCCACAATACTTTTATTCGACTTTCTTTAGGGATATTGTCAAAAATTTCAGTCTCGCACGTAGTAGCAGTGTTTGCAAGAAAAATCTGCCAGTTCATTCCCAACGATACCCGTATATCCATGAAAAATGCAAAAGCAACATAATTGTGTTTATCTTTTAGGCTTTTAAGTTGTCTTTGAATCTCGACGATTATGTTATTAAAAGAAGAAATACATTTTAGGGTCTCCAAGGTTTAAAGAGAATCGGTACAAATAAGACAGCATGAAACAACACTAATTTGTTCAATGATCCATTTAATGACAAAATTTAAACAAAATGTCAGCTATAACAATGTGCTTTCAGCACGAATCCTAAATTGAAGGTGCTCAAATTGAAGACCACTTTCGACGACAACAAATGTAAAACCAACTTTGCTATCAAATTTATTCCAATTGGTATAGCAAGTTACAGGGAAATCATCTGCAATTTCATTGCTAAATTGAATAATATTCACAGAATTTCTTTCTGAGGGATAAGGAAGAACAAATAGAGGACAAACAAAATCCTAACCAGGAACAGACGAAGCAGAGAGATTTTCACTAAAGGAAATACGAAAAATGGCAATACCAATTGAAGGAAACTAAAAACTGCAAAAACAGACTTATAAGTTATGTAAAATAACCACAAATGACCTGCAAAAGTATCTGCCTTTGAATGCGTCGCACATATTTATAATTTCTCTTCCTCTTAAGCACCATACCCCAAACTCTAGAACTAGGTTGAAATTATTACCGTATGTATTACATGCAATTCTACTTAACCCAAACTGTAACATATACCATTTCTCTAATACGTAAGTTAAATGTCACTTCCAAGAAAATTTACTATCAAGGGGAAACCCCAAGATATTACATCTACCCCAAGATATTACTCTAGAACCGTACATTATGAAGATTTCAATTCTTTACTTATAGATCAGCGAATGTACGTTGAAATTATTACCGTACGTATTACATGCAATTCCACTTAATCCGCGTTGTAACTTATACCATTTCTCTGATACGTAAGTCAAATGTCACTTTCAAGAAAATTTACAATGAAGGAAAACCCCAAGATATTTCATTTACTTTATCACAGCCAATAGAGTTCCATCGAGAAAAAACTGAAATCCATCAGAACACATGTTTCGCTTTTCAATAATCATGACTTCTGTGTTTTCAAGATTAAAGTCAATTTTAAAATCTTTTTACCAATCAGAGGCAAGGTTTAAAGCCTCTTGTGCGTAAAAAAAAGTAGAAGTAAGATCCCTACTCTGGAAGCAAACCAACGTATCATCTGAAAAGGCTATATATAGTATTGCAACAGACAACATTTTTAAGCATTGAGAGGAGTTCATTAAAAATAATATTTCAAACCGCAGGTCATGAAACTGAGCTTTGAGTGCAACCCCTTTCAAGGCGACAGATCACAAACCCAAGATCAATTGCAGTTTGGCTGTCCTATCATTTAAAAGTTAGCAAGTCAAAACGTATTCATTGGTAGTTTTACATTTTTAAGAAGGTTAAGAATACAAAACCACCACGCATTCTCGAAGGATCCGTTTATATCAAGAGAAACCAAACTAATGGGGAAATATTTCTTGTTACCTTTCTGAACAATCTCATTCAAGTGTAAATAACGTTTTCAGTACTTCTCTAGGATATAAAACCGTACTGATCACCAAATAGAAAATCTCCTCGGCCCAAATACCAACAAATTCTGTTAAAAAACGCTTTTTCAGAAATTAAGCTTATGCATTTAAGTTTATCATCTAGAGCAGAAATTAAGCTTATACATCTAAGTTTATCCAAATACGGAACACTACACTTTAGAAATAAATATCATTTGAGCATGCTTTCAAACACGTGAAAAAATACCAACATGCAGAGAAATATTAAAAGGTTTATGGAGAGGAGAAGGAAGCATATAGTAAAACTGCTTAATAATCTCATTTGATACATAATCAGGACCGGGCGATTTATTTTGTTCCATCATAGAAAGAACTGCGTTAATTTGATCATAGACAAAATAAGAATCAACAAAAGAAAAATTAACAGTACTCCAATGGTACTCCTTATGTAAATGATTATAATTCCTCTGGATCAGAACGGAAGGATTTCTGAAAGACAGCATTTATATCCTCACTACAGAGTTCGTTGTCTCTTCCGTACATAGACAAATATCAGTTATTTCAATTCTTTTCACGAATTCTCTTTTAACAACACATGCATAATTTCTCCCACACATTGCTAACATCAGTAGTCTCAAGAAATATCTTATAGGAGTTAGATTTATTGTCAGTAAGCATTTTATTTCCTATCGTTCTATATTCAAGATATTTACATTTACACAGTTCTCTAATAGTCGGAAACCTGCAACGCAGAAATCTTCGGCTAGAGGCTGTATGTCTCTTTCTCATGCAAGCAATGTCAATAGACAACCAAGAAACATTATGCACACCATGATTCTTAACAGGCATTAAAAATAAAAATGTCTGGAGAAGAGCAGAACCAAGATCTTCAACAGCTCTATGCAGGAACCAGGGTTCATTTTGAGACAGACACCAACTTGAAATACCTTGGATAAGAACTGTTAACTGTAACATCAATTAGATTGAACCCTGAGTTGCACGTATGGTAGATTCATAATCGTCGTTTATAATGTATAATGTGGCCATCACGTGTTAGAATGCTGGCTTGGTATGTAGCTGCTTGCTCATGTCGCCATCTATTAGCAGCAACGAGAAGTGCAGCAACGCACCAGTTTCGTATGTCGTTGAAGATGATAATGACCTTGGGTTTCGATCCTGGGTTTCGATTATATGGCAATCGAATATCAGTTGCAATAGAGCACCCGTACAACAGATTCTGGTATTTGAACTGCTTTTTTAACGCGAACATTTGATCAGCTTTCGAGATAGCTGCAATAACAAATAAATTGTTGACAGAAACAAAATTCACTCAGTTTATCTCAACGAATTTCTGAATAGGGACTAAATCATAATTTAGATTTGGCATTGGAATCTATACACTTAAACAGTCGATTAAGACTTTTGTACATAAAAACTTGACTAATCTTATGAGCATCTAAATCAAAATTTCTTGAGGACTCAAAATATTATGAAATGAGTGAACACAATCGTACCAACAAAGCCGAAACATCACGTGATCGAACGATAATTGCCGTCTTAACATTATCGGAATTGGAATCAAGTTTATAAGTATCAGGGTATCCTGGAAGAGAACTCTTGCAACAAGGAAGCTCGTGAACCAGCATGCGATCAGTATTATCAGTTTCATTATTTAAAATAAACTGCTGGGTCGCAGATTTAGATTTATGAAGATTTAGATGCATACACTCCAGAATTAGCTTCTTTGACCTAACCATAATCAATTCGAGATTGAATGTTCTTCCTCATAAAGATATGAATAGGATAGCACTCTGAAAGGACAACAGGACTCCTCGTTTTTGGCAAGGATGTAATTACTTCCGGAGATTTTTTCTTAATCGCGGCTCTAAGTCCTTTCTGATCATTTTCGGAAAACCGCTTAACGAAAACTTTATTTCCTCCAATATGTTTCAAATTACTTACACCCAGGTTAGCCTCTAATGTATTTATGTTTAGTTAAATTAATTTTCTAACATCTTCAGAAAGGCATCAGAGTACACAACCAAACATTAATTCGAAGAAACCAAGGACTATTCATTAGTTCTTTGTGACCTCAGATGACGCCACTACAATAGCATGTGGCCTTGAAATGACGTCTTTCAAACTCTCCCTACACGCTTCTAAAAAATTAACAGCTTTGATTCGCTCAAAATTTTTATAAACAGAAGATTTCAACTCAGCCAGAGCTTTTCTAGCTTACTTGCATCTGTTGATTCATATTACATTAAGGTTGAAGTGGTGATTGAATAATTTTGCAATGTTTTTCAAGAGTTTCGTAAAACGCGTCATCCTGCATTAGCAGGCAACGCTGCAACTATGGTCGGAAGTTTTTCATCGATTTTTGACCTGCTTTCAGATTAAGTCATCGAGCTCAAATTTTGTACGCACGTTTTTTTGTTTATGACAATGCAAGCCACGTTTTTAAAGTTTGATTAAGATTTTTTAAAAATGTTATGTTTAAACATTTTTTGTATATTTCTCAGTATAACGAAAAAACTCAAATCTCGGAAATTCACTTTTTGAACCATCGGATAGAGCATCAAAAATTTTTAAATGGGATTTTTATCAAATTTTTTAAATTGCTTCTGATACTTTTGGCGAATTTTGAAAACACTCGAATATTTTGACTATTTCGTTCCCACGCTTTTAAATTTTCAACTTCGAAATATGTATCTGTTAAAAGGTTTTGAAATTTTCACACAGTATAAAACAAACACTTCGTTCTTTTTTAAAATAAGAATAATAAAAAGAGATTAGTTGGGCGATTTTTTTACATTTTATAAAACATATGCTACAATATGAAACATGATTGGTTCTTCAGTTCGAAGGTTATAATGCCATTACGTCATACAATTCGCCTTGTCTCAGAGCGCTCCAAATAAAACCAGCTATTGATTATCCTTAAATATTACTCGCAATGAAATATACCGCATAATTTATTTTCATTTTAGAAGTTTATAAAAGTTGATTTTTTTTCCTCAAATTTATTGTGGAATGCAATAATATATTTTTTATAAGACTTAAAAATTTTGACATTTAAAACTTTCTCTCTTATAGACAGATTTCAACTCACCCAAAGAACACTCATATTCACCTCTTATAGAGATATAAAGTACCCTACCAAGAAAATACCTCTAATCAAATACTTTTCTGCCAGATAAAAAGGGCAAAAATATAAAATATGGTGTATATTATAAACGTTATTCAAACTGATATAGCAGCTAAATCTGTCTGCAAAACGTCCTATGTATAAGAGGTTCTAAACGAATTATGAATTCTTTTACCCAGAGCCTTTTTCTATTCGAATGTAGTCCTTTTCAATAGTTCTTGGAACAAACTGAATGCAAGTGTTATCATTAAGAAACTCCATTGCTTCTTCTATGAGATCTGTCTTGTCCCCTAGAGAAAATGTGAGATAAAGTATTAGCTACAAATCTTTTCTGAGCATTAATTATAAACAAGCATTATGGTATTTTACAAAATTAAATATTTCTTGGTTATAATAATACTAAAAATATGTGGTCAAAATGGAATGTACATATGGTAAAAGTCCTTGCATGTAATTTTATAAACTTATTAACTTAGCTTCCCCTTAGATATAAGTAATTTATTCCTGAGCACTCCAGGCTTTTATGTACCCAAGCTTCTTCTGATTTTTTTTCCCAAACAAAGAATTATTTTCCTAATTTAAGTTATTTAATCATATGATATAATTATCGGCTCAAAATTTGCCCTAAAATAACAAACGTGACCTGCAACATAACAAAGTAAAGAACTGCATTTGATTCTATTTCATAGATGTTAATCATAAATTAAAATAATTCGGTGGAATTTTCCCTGTATATAGAAAACACAACATATTTTTTCTTAGAAAATCCTGCATAAAGATGTGCCTCTTCTTAGAACGATAACTCTAATATAATTTGCCATAGTAGAAATCAGTCAAATACAAAATAATTCAAGAATTTTGTTTCATTCGAAATATATGTTTAAAATATCAGTCAGTATGACAATCTAAGGAGAAAAGGATTAAAGAGAAAAGCACAAAACGATTTCTCTTAAGTTTTTTTAATATGTTTAATTCATTCCATGCAAAATAATATAGAAAACTTGTGGCATTTTTAATTTCTAGATGGCATATATTCTACAAGGAACATTTACATAAAAATAGCGATTATTAGAAATTGGAGTTAAAGTTTATACTATTCGATAACACATTTGTATGATTTATTTACATAAAATTTCTCTGGCTGTTAAATCAATCTTTCAAGTTTTTCATAAAAGGCATTTTCCTTTTTTCTTTGGGTTTTTTTCTATCTCTCTGAATTTTGACAGCGGCATCGAGAATTGGTGACTCTACTTAACTCTAGAACTGTAAATTACATCTGAATCTCATTTGAGTTGTCCAGATCCCGCAAAACAAGAATTCAAAAGAAGAATATCCGGAGAACTCTTCGTCCCCCGAAGCTTTCCAGTTCTTCGCGTGTTGTACTGAAACTTCTGCAACAAAATTTGCCATAACAACGACGCTTCGAACAAAATTGCAGTTATCAATAATTTCCTGTTTTGTATTTATCTTTACACAGAATTTTTATTCGTTTACTTTGTTACTTTTATTGTACTTTTTACCATTTTAAGAAAATTAGTAATAAAAACGTAAACATCTTATAATGAATACTTATAACGAAATATAATTAAGAATAATTCGTATATTAATCAATCAAAAAACATTTAATGCTCAAAAGAAAATGGTCTGTAAATTTCAAGTATTTTGTTTTCTTTTTACCTTTTTATTCCCACCGGTTGAAACATACACCAAAATAAAGTATAATTCAGAGAAGACCATCCCAATAATCAGACACTATAATAAGTACGCTAGTTCGTTACTTTATTAATTTCCATAATTAAACTGCAATCACTCATTATTAACTCATAGCTGTAACCAGCCTTCGTACACCGTCGATGGCAATTCTCAAACTCGTCTGATCATAACATTACAGATGCGCGTGCGCGGATTACATTACAGGTGCGCAGGCGCGAACATGCCGCTCCGCGTTGCAATGCGTAGCATTCAACTATTGTAATTAAGATATACTATAAAGAAATTTAAATATTATAAACAATTTTGAATAAGTACTATTACATAAAAAATCATTATTATAATTAGACATTTACCGTATACATCAGCGTATAACTCAAAACAATACAATATAACATTTCAGTTACATAATGACATTTTATGTGAAGCACCTTCAATACTACACAATAACTATAAAGACAATACTCATTTTTGTATTGGTAAGACACATAATTTGGTAATTGGTCGTTTGAAAGTTCTAGTTTGAGTTTTTACATTGCACACGCGAACCTTTCCATCTTTACCATAAATTACTTCTATTATACGACCAAACGCCCAATTACAACAAGGCAAATTATCTTTAATAAAGACCATGTCTCCAACTTGTGTATTGTTTTTAGAGCTCTGCCATTTAGATCGATTTTGTAAATGACTTTAATAATTGGAGTTCCATTTTTTCCAGATAATTTGTACTAATTTTGTGATCTGTTGCCACAATTTTAACTTGTTAATATTAACTTCCGTGATACCTGGCTCAGGAATCGAATTAATTGCTCTACCAATTAAAAAATGCCCAGGTGTTAAGACTTCTAAATCATCAATGTCCGAAGACAAGTGTGTCAATGGTCGGGAATTTAAAGTTCCTTCAATCTGAATCATAACTGTTAAAAATTGTTCAAAAGTGCTTACGACACGTTTGAAGTGGCTCTTAAAAGATTTAACTCCAACCTCCCAGAGGCATCCAAAATTGGGTGCTCTGGGAGGGAGATATTTCCATTCGATATTCTCAGAGCTCAAATAACCAACTAAAAGCTCATCTTGTTCGTTCACTAGTTTATTTAACCTCTTTAATTCTGCATTTGCACCTACAAAATTAGTAGCGTTATCACTAAATAGTGTTGAGCTTTAACTCTTCGTGCAAAGAAACGTTTCAAGGTAGCTATTAATGCTTCAGATGTTAGGTCTGTTATCAGTTTTAAATGAATGGCCTTAGTAACCATACAAATAAATATACACACATAAACTTTCTGATATATACCTTTTCTCTGGTTTTTGTACTTAATTAAGAATGGGCCACAAAGGTCAACTCCAGTACAATTAAATGTAAGATTAGCTGTAATTCTTTCCTTGGGTAAATCACACATGATTTGCTGAGATACAATGGGATTAGCTTTAAAACATGTTATACAATTTTTTTACAATTTTTCTACAAACATTTCTACCATTTACAGTCCAAAATGTTTTGTCTTACATGATATAACAAACATTGATGACACACATGCAAATATTTTAAATGATAGTAATTAACTATGTTACTTTATATTTAGAAGGCAGAATAATAGGAAATTTTTTCTCGTAAGTTAAATTGCTATTTCTTAATCTACCTCCAACTCTCAACAGTCCATTGCTGTCAATGAAAGGGTTAAGATTTTTAATAGAACTATCTCTTGGAACAATACCTGACTTTTAAGACCATTTATCTCATTTATAAAATACTCACCCTGCAATGATTTTAATAAAGCTTCTTCAGCTGATCTCAATTCTCCCACTTGTAAATTACCTACCTTATTTTGTTCTTGCTTACAATTCTTGTAAAACCTAAAACAAAAACTTACAATACGAATTAATTTAAAATATTTATTACTGCAATTAAATAAATCATTAACAAAATTATTCACATTTAGATTTAAGCCAGCAAGATTCAGAATCAGCAAAGTTTTTAAGTTCATTACTGTCATTTTCAGTAATTGCTTCAGGTCCTTTTCAGTAATTGCTCATAGGGTACTTCATCAAGAAGTCAGGCCCGTTTCACCACAGTTGACTTAGTTGCAGTCTTTTGGCAGCCATACCTCTAGATATGAGATCTGATGTGTTTTCTCTTCGGAAGCGATATGATGCCACTGTGCAATTTCAGTCAGATCTTGTATCTTTGAAATACGGTTTGCAACAAATGTCTTGAGCAGATGTGGCTCTTTCTTGATCCATAACAGCACAATCATAGAATGGGTCCAAAGGTGAATAGCAGTAAGCTCCAATTTTAACGATGATTTCACTCGATGCATTAGTTTAGCTAATAACACTGCTGCGCAAAGCTCAAGTCTTGGGATTGTATTCTTCTTTATGGGGAAGACACGCGATTTATTGCACACCAACCTCACTGATGTATGGGTTTGTTGCTGATGTGGCTTTACAGTAGATAACTGCTCCATAGGCGGCCTCTGAGGCATCAGGGAAACCATGTAACTCAATCTTGATTGTATCTGGTAATAAAATACATCTATGGTAATAAATTACATCTATTAATGTTGTTAATTTGCTGCAAGGTAGTGAAGAATTCTTTCCATTCTTTTGCCTCCTTTTCGGGGAGAACATCATTCCAGTTCAATTTTAGTAGTCATAATTTCTGCATAAATATTTTTGCTATAATTATAACTGGGGAAAGTATATAAAAATATTCAGTATATTAAAAGAATATCGTCGATGTACATGTCTTCTCTCAGCACAGGTGCTGCTAAAGGAAATTTATCTCTTTCGTCCTTTGACAGCTGTACGAGTGTCCTCATTGCTAAAAATGGTGCACTCACAGTAACATAAATAACAGTGGTTAGCTCAAAGTTTTTAATTGGCTTATCAATGCCTTATTTCCATAAAATCCTTTCCAACTTCCACTGATTTGGATGGATAGAAATAGCTCGATACATCTTTTGTATATCTGCAGTGAAAGCAAAAATATATTTCCTGAATCTCAGCATAATTGAGAATAAATCATCTTGTATTACGCCACCATTATACTGTATAGAATTTAGAGAGTTTCCTTTGGTTGTCAAAGAAGAAGCGTTAAATACTACCCTCAAGGGAGTCGACTTCTTACTTTTACTCCAATATGAGGAACATATACTCCAAAATGATACTACATACTCCAATATGAGGAATGTAATATTATCCTTGTTTCTCCTCGCTTTCACTCATCCTCAACCATATGTTCCTAACTGTTGATAGTTCTTTTAAAAAATCTGAATATAATTTTAAGTATTTATTCGGGATTCTTTACTAAGCGTGTTCCATAAGGAATTTAATTTACTCGTTGCAATTTGTTTAGAACTTCTTAAAGTGTCCGGGATCCTCCTTTAATGGCATTTTAACAACGTACCTACCGGTTTTATCTCGTATATAATTTTCTACAAAATGTTTCTCGCAAATTAAAGAATCTTTGTTTTTGGGTTTTATCAGATTTCAATATTCTCTAATTCCCAAAATCTTTCTTAAGAGTTTTATCTAAGTTGTCTTCGTCTTTTATCAACCCACAGTGAACCCTGTTTTCAGTCTCTGTTTGTAAATACTTCTTGACACGATAAAACCAAAAAAAACTATAACGGTGTCTTGAAAAATAAGATCAGGATTATTCATTCATATTTGACTCGGTTTCAAAAATTCATAAAAAACTCCCGCTCCCAACAGCATGTCTACCTTTTCTGGAACATTAAATCCTTCATCTGCTAATTTTAAATTAGGAAGATCTTGCACTGAAATTTTAATTTTGCGAGAAGGTGTTAAATCAGCAATTATTTTTGGAATTTCTAAAAAGTCCAAATTCTTTAAAAAAGTTCCTGCTTTATTGCATATCGAAGCATTAATTTTATGCTTTATTGTCAAAGTAGCATCATTTATTCCCGAAACCGAAATGTTTGTTTTTTTCCTTCTCTAACTGCAAATTACGTGTCAAAAAAGTTGACATACTACCGCCGTCCAGCAGACACTTTACTCTGTTTTCTTCCCTCGTTATCAATTTTGAAAAATACGATGGTTGAAAGCAAAACTGTATTCTGTTTATTCAAATAGCTGCTAATAAATGCTTTTTGAACGAACTCCAGCGTATTAACATTCAAGGTCGATGAGTCATCTCGTTTGGGAATGTTGCAGGCAGATACATTTGTTTTGTTTTTATTTTGTTCCGATGAAGAACATTCTTTCTCCTTTACGATATCTGCTTTGAAAATGATTAGTTTTGTGGTGCCGTTTTTAACAAAAAGAAGAATACTTTGATGGGCAATTTGATACTGAATGCATATGTAGACAGTTAAAACATAATTTGTTAGATTTCACAACCTGTACTCTTTCTTGTACCGGTAATTTTATATATGATGGGCATTTTGCTAAACTGTGATTCCCATGGCATAAAATACAGTTCTCTCTTTTAACATCTGACAAAAACACTTTAGCTACGCTTTTTGAGCTGTTATACTTACGATTAACATGAGAATTCTCAGTGAGAGGTTTTCCTCGTGACGTGAAATATTTTTTCTTTGTACAAATGGCGCGCACTTGCCTTTAACGGCATTGGCCACTACTAAAGCCAGAAGCGGTGACCATTTTATTATGGAGGCACCTAATAGGTGGCCACCGTTACCTCTTCTGAAGGGACAGACAATTTTACATCCATGCCTTCTCCGGGATTCGAACTCGGGCCCTTTGGTATCGCAGTCAGGCTTCCCTAACCACTATACCGTCTGGGTGACGTGAAATATAAATCTGTTTCTTTACCTAACTCACTAGGGGGAAAACATGAATCACCTTGCCTCACTGAAATGTGAGAAGCTGTTCCTGTATTTAAAGATTGGCATAACCTGTCTGAAACTATGAGTTGTTTGAAAGTCTCGAAGTCCTTCCTTAATTTTAAATAATAATCCAAGGTAATTACTAGGCGTGAAGCGAACTAACTGCACATGACTTTCATGTGGTTGTTTAACAGATTTTGTAAAGTTTTCTAAACACGAATATGATGTTGGCTGAAACTCCTTCAAAACTACTTCTTTTACTTTTTCATAATTCGCGATATCCTTATCATGTAAATAGTTTATTATATTCGAAGCTTTGTCTCCTAACAGATTTAACAGAATTTCTGCTTTATAGCCCTCCGAAACATTTTTTGTAATAAACGCTCGTTCTAATGACGAAAAGAAAAATCCCCAACTCTCAAGCCGTATAGAAATTTTTACAGTTAAGATCCTGATACTTTTTATTAATTGATCTAGTGACTCTGATTTTGTTTCGGTTTCTCTTACACAATCAAGTTTTGTTTCTGCTTTGAGCTTAGCCAACTCTAACTCATTCTTTGATCTCTCAAGTTTTATTTGTTCTAACTTGACACGTTTTTGCTGTTTTTGCTCTTCTTGTTTAGTATTTTCGATAATAGAGTTTGCTATCTCTCTTACTAAATCTCCTTTAGATATAAAAAATTCACTATTCTCAATAATATCAGTTAAATATGCTATAGTCATTTTTTCGTCAACATTTAGATTTATTTCTAAGGCAATAAGCCTTAAATCTTCTTTTTAGCACCCTTAAATAACATTGTTATTTATAACAGAACAAAGCACAGAATGTACAGAATTAACAAGAGAGGAATTACTTATTTCTGCGATGATTCACTTTTGATGAATATCCTTATCCAAAATCATCGATATTTGTTGAAAAAAACAAGCTGGGAATACTGGCAAACACAAACACTCCTGCGTTTTCGATGATTATTAATATAATACAATGTTGTGTTGTTTCTCAAAAACGAAACACTATGCATTCACGCACAAAACACAATTCACAGTAAAACTCCGGCTCGACGGACCAGATATGTTTGAGTTTCATCCCAATAAGCACACACTATAATAAGTACGCTGGTTCGTTACTTTATTAATTCCCATAATTAAACTACAATCACTCATTATTAACTCACAGCTGTCACCAGCCCTCGTACACCTCGTAGCTATGGCAATTCTCAAACTCGTCTGATCATAACATTACAGATGCGCATGCGCGGATTACATTATAGGTGCGTAGGCGCGAACAACCATTTATTAAAAAAAGTTGGAAAACACTGTATCAGAAACACTGTATAAGTACGAATTACTCTGTTATATAATCCCCTATTTAACTGAAACGGAATTTGTTCTATAGCCGTAAAATAACTTAATTTTTACAAAATTAGAAAAATTATGGTGATTATTATTCAGAAACAAAACCACATTCACACAGTCGACAGGATTTTCAAAACGGCAAATGCAAATTTTACTTTCTTAAATATTGATCCTATACATATGCTTGTCGTCAAACAAATTTTAAAATAAAAATAAAAATTTTATAAGAAATTTAAATAAATCGATCTGAAGGACTTGTAAATATAAACTCTAAATTTGTGTACATTCTCTGCGTAAGGAAAATTTCAATTTGTAAAATAATCAGTACACTCGCGTATTTAAGGAAGTTTAAGTTTGCACATGCTGCTTCGAAATTCTTGTATACTACGTGAATGAGATTTTGCTTCTGAATACTAACTTCTCTTTCCTTGTCGAAAGTAAGTTATTTTATAGCTACAGGATCAGTTCCGCTTCACATAAACAGAGGATTAGGTAATTAATATTTAGGAAAGCCTGGACATACTTGATTTACTAAATGTATTTTAATACCTGAGCCCAAACTTCTGCAAAAATCAGTTAATAGAGTTCTCTATCTGATAACACATTTAATATAAGTTACAATGTTTATTTTGAAATGCATAAATATAAATTTTTAAAATGCTTGACTGGAAAGAAGTACTTCCGATGAAACAGACACGAAAACTTTGAGATAAAAAGTGAGTATGAAAGTACGAAAGGAGTTACGTATCGCTTCTGCTTTTTAATCCTTGAAATTGTCAGTTCAGTGAAAGATATTTAATTATTATTGATTTAAAATCTTGATACGCTGTTAAGAGGAAACAACGTTACATAATTATTTATGTAACTGTTTTAATTATTAACATAAATAACAATTACTTATAGAGAGCAAAATATTTTATAAACGATATTGCTTGATCATTTGTCATAACTAGCTAAGAATTTGTAAATCATAATGATTTACGTTGTTAGCTGGTTTTAGAGATAATACTCTCAGTTTCCTATGGTTATTAGTTGTTGCAATAAGCGTATAAAACTGAAAAAAACTGCAGATATAATATTTTCTATAGCGAGCTAAGAATGTACTTGATGAAATCTGAATAACTTGATTAATGTAAAATGAAATATTCTAAAGTTTGTACCCAATGGAAGAAAAAAAAAGATATATATCTATCATGACCAAGCCATAGATGCCAGACATTGGTGACTGTAAAAGTATCTTTGTATGATTAAGACATAAAATAAACATGAAAAGGTTTCCACGAGCGTTTAAGTTTTATTTTGATATTGTTCGGTTTACGAAAATGTTATCGTATTTACTCGCATACGTTTCTCCTTTTTATCACAAGGTTCTGAAATCATTTTTGCACTCTTGTAATTTTCTCCATTCTCAAGACGTTCAGAAAGAGATCTTCCTTAAATTTTAAAATAGATCCGTCCACATAATGATTGTTTTTGTCTAATTAATTTGCTTGTCGAATATGGATTGCTTGGGCTTTGACTGATGTAGTGAAGACCTTCACGAAAACAGAAATATCTAATATTCGTGCTGTTAAGAAGATTTCTTGCACGTGAAAGGAGAGACTGAAAGATGGCGAATAGATGACAGCGGCTTATAAGTTGTAACAGACGGCATAGACAGAAATTCCAGTAAGGCCTAGGGATTAGCACTGGGGAACATTATAAGCGGACGAGATGGAAGATTCAGGGAAGTAAAAATGATAATGCATTAGACAGTGTAACATTAATGTTCCTGCCCATTCTCATTATAATCTAGGTTTCTTTAAAAAATAATATTCGGATAGTTAGTTACATGTAGTTTTATTGATGAATATTTTTTATTTGTTTTTGTTCTTACTGTAACCGCTCTTTTCAGAAGTTTAATTATTTTCATAATTTTCCCCTGTCGATTTTTGTACGATACATTTAGTAAAAAAGGAGTGAAAATACGCAAGCAATTCTTTATCTCATTTTCTAGTTCTTCGTTCTATTTAGGTTTTTTATGAAAAAAAAGCAAAAGAAGTGATAGGAAACATGAAATAAATATATATATATTACTCACTAAGTTCAAAGTTTATTACGTAAGGTATTCTGCCCTTTGGCCATAACTCTCTCTCTGACACCAAGGCGTTGCGATCCTATGTAAGATATTATTTTAATAGTAAGTACAGAGTAAATCAAAATAATTATATTTTTTAACATTAATAACAGAGAAATTATTAAAGCTTTCTTTACTGAAATTTTTATTTGAAACTTCAGTTATAGAGTCTATGTGCATTCTTCACCCTGAACTCTGCGTTGGAGACGAAGTAGTGAATTCTCGCTATGTCTTTAAGAATAAATACTGCGGAAGAAAGATTTAAATAACCTTTTCATTTAAACTAAATTAAAACAGATGCACGCACTTTAAGATCACAAATCGCCACTTCTTGTGGTTACGTAACAGAAGATAAGAATGTAACAAATTACTAATAAATTAACATATCTAATGACTGCCTTCTTAGCTTAAACTAACTCTAAATCGACTGCACACAGCAAAGCCGAGCCGAAGAATGTCTGTACAAACTAAAAAGTATCTCACACCGACTAGACAACTAACTTTAAACTCGCAACCTAAACATCGGAGCTAAGCTCGCTACTACGCTTTTTGAACTACTGCTTCTGAAACACTTTTAAATTTAAATACTACGTCATAACAAATTTACACTCCGGCAGAAAAAAAAACTGAAATCAGGAGGGACAGGAAAGTAAAGCTAAAAATAATTGGTTAGAATATATTAAATCCTTACACAATGTCTGTTGGATGTGTGCGAGTGCATATAAGCGTTCTGTGCGAGTGCATGTCAGCACTTGTAGGGTTTTACCTTATTTTCTTAATAGTTATTTTTAGTTTGGAACAAGCCTTTCCTTTACATTCTAGTTTCTCACCTAGGTTTCCCTGCCAGAATGAGTTTTGAGGATTACGACGAAAATAAGGAAGAAACTATTATTTAAACTGAAGTGTGACTCACTTCAGTAGGAAAGCATGTTATTCTTTTCCGCCACGTTGTTGCTGTTAGATTAAGCTTGCTATTCTACGACGTACTTAATTCATGCTTCCTAGTCTACGCCGGTTATCCTTAATTAAGGAACAACTATGTGAATTTGATTCTGTGGAACATCGGCTGGTTAATTTTATTTAGCATTAGATTAGTTTTATATTTTTCTGTTTGGAATTAAAGCCCAAGTGAAGGCTTCTTGTACTTCCGAGAGGGGTCATCTGTATATATATTTTGAGATAGAATAAAAGGGTAATTTAACCCTTCTCCGGAGTTGCTGCTTACACATAAGAAATATATAGTCACTGCATCATTCTTTAGTATTCTATCTTTCAAGGAACTATATTTTAGCCAAGATCCTGCAAGCTAAACAAGAGACCAGTACATGTTTCTTTCTCTACAAGGATTTTAAAGTGTTTTGGAAAACTGAGAATATATGTCATATGCAAAGACAATGGAGTAGAGGATTTCATACTGTACTAAAGTCTTGTACTGTGGGTGCGATCTGGATGATGCAACAGCGAAAGAATGTCGACGGATAAAGTATGGAATGGTGCTACAGACTTTCAATAAATACCCGATGATGTCGCAGGCACAGGACACTGTAAGATATTCAAGTTAAAATTGGATATGTTTCATCTTCTTTCTAACGAAATCGTATCTGCTTTTGTTAGAACTTGGTTAACGTTTTTTGGTAATTAACACCAAAAAACATTAATACTGGTTGTTACGAAATCACCACAATAAGTGAATACTGCAACTGTGAATGTTATGTGAATTTTATATTTTCTAACCCGATAAATAAAATAAGTACGTGCTATTAATATTGCAATATATTAGGCCACAAAACTGTTACGCTTTTTCATCATTTAAATAATTTTTGCAGTAGCAGTTCCCTGGCATAGCCATCCTGGATGCCATCCTTTTCAGCGGAGGTTGTTTACTAACTCGAAACCAAAGGTGAGAGTTAGACCCCGTTCTTCAAGTTATGTATACGATTTCCTTGTTTCCTTTGTAGGTGAAAATTTCGTCCACTTCCTCCAATCCACCTCCAGTAACACTGTCTATGATGATATTGCTAAACGAAAGAAAGGTACAGCCGTTCTTGACGAATATCTTCGAGTAAGTTTCTGCCGTTTGGGAAGAAAAATAATTCTTCGCAGAATGCTTCTTTTGCATTCAAATTTTATAAAGTCTAATTTTCTGCGTGTCTTCGCACTGTGTTTTGGACTAATTTCTGTTTGTGATATTTGTTGAAGGTATGCGTGGTTTATTTGTTTACTATTGCAACTTCGCTAATTCAAGACGAGCAGATGAATAAAACAGAATTAAAGTTCTTACCTTGATAAAGCTTAATCCATGCTGCGGATGTAATAAACGCGATCAATATAACACAAAATAACACATTTATTAGGTATAAGAAGTAAATATTATATAGTGATGATTACAAGAGTGGTTTTCTGTTCATTGCATAACGCGAGAATGAGCCATATAAGGAGACAGTATTTCTCCTTTTTTTTTTTTTTTTTGATCAAGTCCAATTCCAGTTAGCGGGGTTAAGGGGAAAATTAACGTCGGAGTGTACAGCTTCATTGCTGTTGTTATCAGTTGCTCCACAATCTCCCACACGATGAGCTGTTTCGTCCGGAGAAAGACCAATTCATTTTAACAAAAATTCCAGCTGTTGTCTGGGTAAGGGTTTTGTGAACATGTCTGCATACATCATTTTGCTGTTACAGTGTTGTAATTTAACAATTCCTTAATATTGTAGATCACACGTAGTGAGTGATACGTAGTGATATTTCACAGCGATGTGTTTGGTATAACTGCTCCCTTTTTCTTTTCTGGAAAGATTTATGCATGATATATTGTCCTCGAATACGATGTTAGCTTCCTGTTGAGCAAAGCCTTAATTTTCATCAGTTGTCTAATCCACTGTAGCTCCTGCAATGTTAAAGCTAGAGCGATGTATTCGGCTTCTGTCGAAGATAAGGGGACACAATTTTGTTTCTTACTTTTCCATGATACTGTACTGTTTCCTATTTGAAATATATATCCGGATGTGGATTTTCTGTCAGCGGTATCTCCTGCCCAATCAGCATCGCTGTAAGCTTTGATGACTGGTGCATTATTATATTTTAGATGTAATTTGTAAGTAATTGTAGCTCTCAGATATCGGATGATTTTGATTATACCGTTCCAGTCCGATTTTGGTGGATTTTCCACTTTTCTGCTAAGTATTCCAACAGAATATGCTATGTCAGGTCTTGATACTGTTATTAAATATAAAACTGCTCCCACTGCTTCCCTATATTTGCGATTATCGGGAAAAGAATCATCCTGGTTGTTTTGGTTCTTCATAAAATTCGTAATCATGGGTGTATAGCTTAGTTTCTTCGCTGACTCTCCGTCGAATTTTTCAATCATACTCTTAATCTTGTTAGCCTGATGAAGTTTAAAGCTTCCCCCTTTTTCTCTTTCGATTTCGATTCCTAGATATGTATATACTTCTCGAATATTTCGATTGTCGAAATATTCTTTGATAATTCGTTCAACTTCTTGAATTGATTCACACTTGTCTCTCGCGACTAATATGTCATCGACATAACCGATTATTAAGTTCTTCCATTGATCTCGATTAGTGTGAAGGAACATGGATCAGCTTTTTCTTGAACGCATCCTTGTTTGCACATTTCAGCTATCTTGTGTTTCCAGTTTCTAGCTGCCTTTTTTAATCCGTAGATACTTTTATTTAATTTACAGACTTTGCTTGCTTCTGAGGCAGAGATGTAACCTTCTGGTTGCTTCATATATATATATCTTCTTTCAGATCTCCGTATAGAAAAGCTATTTTTACATCAAAGTGATTTACGTGCATCTTCTTTTGAGCTGCTGTTGCCAAATTGTCCTTATTGTGGTATACTTTACGACTGGTGCGAATGTTTCGTCCTAGTCGTGCCCAAATTTTTGGCAATATCCTTTAGCTACTAAACGAGCTTTATATCTGATAACATTTCCTGAAGCGTCGGATTTTGTTTTAATTGTCCATTTGTTTCCGATTGCCTTCTTTCTTTTTGTAAGAACGACTAGTGGCTATGTTTTGTTTCTCTTCCAGTGCTTCCATTTCTTCTTTCGTGGATTTTAACAACAGTTCCTTTTCTGTGTTTGGATAAGTTTGTAGTTATTCCCAGTCTTTAGGAACTTTAAGGCCATTCTATTTCCTATGCTGATCATTTAACTTACGAGGCATTTCTTCTTTTCTGTTTTCGTCGAATATTACGCTTCTTCTGATCACGACGTTGCTTGTATGTGGCATGTAAATTCTGTATCCTTTAGTAAGGTCACTATATCCAACAAGAATTACTTTTTCTGGTCTTTCATCTAGTTTGCTTCGTTTCTGTTTTGGAACTAGGCAATAAGCTGTGCTGCCGAAAACTCTGATATGATTTAAGTTCGGCTTTTTATTATTCCTGAGCTCGTCCGGTGTTTTTTCAACTGATCTGGATGGTAGCCTGTTTTGTAGATAGGTGGCTGTCATCATGGCTTCCCCCCAAAATTCTCTTTTGTGTCCTGAATCGAGTAGCAGGCATCTTGTCATTTCCATTTTGTATCGATTTTTTCTTTCTGCTCTACCATTCTGTTGCGGTGAATATGCTACGGAGGTTTGATGTTCGATTCCCTCTTTCTTTAGATATTATTCAATCTCTTTCTTTATATATTCTTCTCCATTGTCTGTTAAGACTTTTGGCTTCTTTCAAATTTGTTCTTCGTCATGGTTACAAATTGTTTTAATTTGGAGATAGCTTCATCTTTTGTAGCTAGCAGATAGAGATAGTTGTGTATCTCGAATGATCGTCGATGAATGTTATGAGGTATTTTTTCCTCCTAATGATGTGTACCGATTGGTCCACAAAAATTGAATGTATCAAGTCCTAGAACTGACTTTGCTCTATAGTTGTTTAGCTTGGGATACGGCAATTCAGACATTTTGCTACTGATACAGCATTCGCATTTTTTTACTTGCTTGGCTTCTCTGTCAATCTTTATTCCGGTTGCCAGGTCATCATTCTTTAGCCTCTTGATTGCTTCATAATTTTTGTGTCTTAGTCTTCTATGCTAAAGATCTATACTATTTTCACATCTTTCTGCAGCTGAAAGTTTGGCTTTTCTTCTTTGCGATTCAATTATGGTATATAAATTTCCTTCTGCTTTAGCAATTCCTATGGTTTTATTTTTTTCTTTATTCTGCAAATATATTATGCAAATTCAATTGTAAATCCTTTCTTTGCAATTTTTCATACGGATTTTTCATCTGAGTGCCGTTAGCAATTGTTATTTGCTCAGTTTTGCTTCTGTCTAATTCAGTGAAAAAGTTTATGTCATCGGTCATATGACAAGTAGCTCCTCAGTCAATTGACCAGTTTGGGTTTTGAAATTCTCTTTCTCTGGTGACTTCGAACGTGTAATTCTCAGTCTTCTCAAGATTCTTATTTTCGTTTCATCTTCATGTTATCCTCGTTACAGCAACTTTCGTTTTCTGTTTATTTCCATAATTTCTTTTTTAGCTTTGCTTTTCATTCTTGAAAAATGAGTTACTTTCGTTTTTGTCGTTTTCTTTGTGGTTGTTAAAGAATCTGCATTCCTTTTCTATGTGTCCTAATTTTTTGCAATAATTGAATTTTCGTTGACTGAAATGGTTGAATTTTGTGTTAAAATTGTTTTGAAGGCAGTTGTTTCTTCTGTTCGTGTGCCTTCTTTTCTTCTCAGGCATTCGTTGTTGAATTTCCTTTTTACGTATTCCAACGTTAGTTTTTCTTCTGGACGTGCTGTAATATTTTCGTAGCTTTTTGGTAAGCCGCTTAGTAAAAACGCTGCAATGTGACCGTCCTTTATTTCTTCACCGATTCCTCGTAGTTCGTCTACGATTTCGAGCATTTTGTTGACGTGTTCTTCGAGCTTGTATTCGTTTTTATTTTAACGTATACAGCTTTCTGAGAAGGTAATGTTTACTGGAAAGATTCTTTCTTTCATGAGTTTAGTTAAATTCATTCAATATCTCTTTAGCTGTCGTTTTATTTCTTACGTGTACGATTTGGTTGTCTTCTACGAGTAAATTTGTGGTAGCTTGTGCTTGTTCACCTCGTTTTGTCCATTCGGCGTTTATTTCTTTTGATGTATCATCAGCTATGAAATTCCATAAATTTTCCTTTTTCAGGATCATTTCAAGCTTGTATTTCCATACTTGATAGTAGTTATTGTTTAGTTTCATGATCGAATATTTATTTTCGCAGCTACTACCCATTTCTGCTTCTGTATTTCGAATGCGCAGTACACAACTATGTAGTTTTGTTTCGCTTTTGAAGATAGGTTTGGCTTTCCTTTTTCGGATTATCCAGGGTTAATTTATGGCAGAGTATCTTTTCTGTTTGTATTTTTATCCTTGATAGCTTATCTCGATACATTTTATATGTTTAGTTGAAGTAAACATGCTCTCAGTCTCATAATCTAATGCTGAAGGTATGCGTGGTTCATTTGTTTACTATTTCAACTTCGCTAATTCGAGACGATCAGAAAAATAAAACATGTAATGAACGCTAGCAAACAGCTTCATGTACTGCAGCGCCACCTTATCGGACGCTATTCAAAAACACCTACGCCCGAACTAGTTAGTTCGAGTTTCGGCAGAGGACTATGTACATGTACATTTTATTTTCATTTGAGTAATATTTCTTTGTTTTACTTCTTGTTAGTTTTGTCATGTAACTTTCTTTATGTAGTGCTTGTGTTTAATTAAATTCATTTTGTTAAATATTAAAGTTGGTCTGGGATAAATTTTGCCAGTTTTGTTTAACAACTTTACAGCTAACCGTGGTCACAACTCTACAAACAGAATTAAAGTTCTTACCTTGATAAAGCGTAATCCATGCTGCAGATGTAATAAACACGATCAATATTATTAGCACACAAAATAACACATATATATGAAGTAAATAATATATAGTGATGATTACAAGCGTTGTTTACTTTTCATTGCATAACGCGGGAATGAGTCATAAGGAGAGGTAAAGGTAAAAGTATGTGGGGCACCATCGATGTACCATGGGTCAACTGGTAATGCCTTAGTCCAATTCCAATTAGCGGGGGTGAGGGGAAAATTAACTTCGGAGTGTGAAGCTTCATCGTTGTTGTTACCAATTGCTCTACAATATTAACTATTTCTAGCTTTTTTCTTAAAGTGAGAAGCACATAATTAGTTGTTTCCTATTGATATTTATATATTGTTATTATTATATTATTATCAATCTTAAATGTATGCATTAACAATTTTATGTATATATGGCACTAATATTACAAACTATAGCTAGCCAGGAGCTAGCTTTGAGATATATTTCAGATGGTAAAAAAGAAAGAATAAAGCTATGGCACAGAGATTTTACAAATTATTGCTAATTGTTTGAAAAGCAGGTTTATTATTATTGTAAAATATCTACTCTATACTTATTCACATTGCTCAGATGCCTTTGCATATAAGTAACAGAAGTAAATAAAACTAATTAATCTTGGTAATGAGGTTGCTAATAGCTTGGTCCTTCCTAATTTCATTGTGATATACGATATCCAGAAATTCACGATAGACGTCACAATGTATTCCATCACATTGGTCTAGCATCTGCCAATTTTCTTACAGCACTGTTTTCTGACACTGCTAATCCGAAAAATTACAGTAAGTAGCAGATAGTGGATCTGTAGATGTACTTAGGCAGTTATCACTACCTATTATATCTCTTGGCAATTCTCATAGTTCTGCTCGGTCTCTATGGGTGGTTATGGAAATATTACTTTAAGCAATGATAGAACAATAACCTCTGATAGTAACATTGCTCTGACCTTTGCGTCTGGAGATTCATTTATTATAAGCTGAATGACTGCACGTTTTCAATACTTTGCGTGCCTTCTAAGGCAAATCGTATTATGTTCTGAGCTCGTTGAATTAGCTTCCTAGGCTCGCGGATTTGGTTTCTGAACAGAAAATGTGTTTGCAATTAATTAAATATATATTTTAGCTTCTTGTTAAGTAATTCGCTGTTATGCAAAAAATTAGGTCCATTTAAATTTTACTTAATTTTGTTCCTTCTTTTGATTTATAAAACGTTCAGGAAATAGTTGAAATTTCGTATGGCGTTTACGAAAGAAGAAAGTACTTTTAGCGCTTAATAAAATATGAAAGATACTTTTTTAACCTGTGTACATAAAAATTATTGTATTCAACTATGATTAAAAAATATCTTCTCTACAAAAAGTTGATTTGATGTGAAGAAAAATAAAAATTTGTTTCTTCGAATTCAGTTTTGTCACCATCGTCTTTACACTCAGCCATGTCTACTGCCAGAAATTAAAGTACCGGGTTCCTCCTACGCATTAAAATATCACACACACACACACACACACACACACACACACACACACATATATATATATATATATATGTAATAATAAAATTTCATAGTCAAGAATACACTTAAAATTCTAACTGTATGTTCTTTTCATTTTTTAATGGCGACGGTCTCTTATTTGAAAGTACGTGGAATTATACCACATTAAAGTTCTTACTTTTGCGAGTTCATACTCAAGTTTGTTTTTCCCGCCTTTTCTACACGTACAGTTATAGAATGTTCTGGAAATATTTAAGCGAACTGGATTGGCTGACGAGGCTGACGTCATTTCTTGAAGCTCCGCCTTTCCAAGGGCTATAAAACTCGCAAAAGAAGTCGGGCTTTTCTTTAATGCACGATGCAGTAAACTTCATACAAAAAGTTATTAGAATTCTTTTGATTTACTTCGGATATCTGATTTTGAACTGCTATTCTCTGAATAATAGTAAATGGATCCTGTTTTTTAAACTTATCGTCTGATAATTTAAGCTACGACTACATCTATATTTCTTCAACAATCTATTTATCTGGACAAAAGCTGATACATCACATATATATATAATATTAATAAGAAAATATATCAAAAATGCAAATAACAGTATATCAGAAAATAATAATTTAAATAAAGGTTAAACGTTAAAAAAATAGAAAAGGCAGTATTTATTATAGCACATCTACATTTTTCAATCAATAAAGCGGTTATCATAATGTGAGAAAAAGAAAACGAAAGTAATACCCGTTACTTCTATTATTAAGAAGTATTTCTTATTGTAATGAGGTTCATAATAATTAAGAATAACACTGAAAGCACAAATTGCTGTAGCAATAGTCAGTATAATGATGTAAAATACTGTTAGCAATAATAATTTAATGATAAACAATCCATACACTGAAACAAAAGATGCAACGTACATAGCCATCTTCGGGTACTATATCTCCTTCAATTAAATCTGGATTTTCCATAGCCGAATCATCTACAGAAATGAAAAGAAAAATAGAAATTCGAATTGATTTTAAATAATTTCTGAAAAAAAAAATTTCCGATTTTAAACTTTCTTGAACAGTTTCTTACATATAAATTTCGTTAAATTATATTTTGTTTGAGGAAAAAATAAAATAAGAATTAACATTATAATTCACGCTTAACATTTTTAAGACTGTATCCTTTAGTCAAAAATGTTAGGCTGTGCCACAATATAGTTTCTTCATTGAAACTACCTAGATATATTTAGGTCGTACAGAAATGAATGCCACAAATGCTACCACAGAGCGGAAAAGAGTTTATTAACAAAAAACTGATAGTACATCAGTTCGAAATAATCCCCGCCCATGTAAATACACTGCTGCCATCTGGCTGGGAGTTCCTGAAGGGCTTTAGTATACCAGTCTGTGGGGTCTTGGGCACCGGTGGCTTGGCAAATGCGGTCAAGAGCAGGACATTGACGTTAATTACGGAAGGGGAAAGTAAACGGCTGTGTCAGGGATCATAAGGGAAGATATATTTTTAAAAAAAGTGTTTTTAGGTCTCATTCAGTATCAGTATATCAGAAATAAATGATGCACATGGTATCAGAATGGAGACAAATTACATAAGATACGAAAAGTTATATTTATTTGTTTATTAACATTTCATTATTACATTGGTTTCGTTCAGGAATTTCCTTCCACCTCCTCTGAGCAATACATACAGGTACATGTAAGTCGGCTGAAAAGCACTGCTATAAACAAATAATCCAACCCAATTCCAGTTGAATAGCGCTTATTAATACTACGTATTTTTCGCCGTATAAGACGCACTTTTTCTCCCCAAAATCAGGGGGGAAAAAGTGCCTGCGTCTTATACGGCAATCCGCTGGCCCCTCCACCTCTGCATACATACCTTACCGCAGGAATACTCGGCCACTCCGTTCCCTTCCACCTCTTGGCGCCGTCTGAGACCAGGAAGCCCCGCTCTGCCTCGCACTGTATTTGGACGGTCTTTGCCTCGCGCTGCGATTGGCTGAGCGAAGAGGCGCGTGCCTTCGCTCGCTCCCGCGCTGGCTTTGTGCACTTTTTAGAGTCTCGTAAGCCAGCGCGGGAGCGGGTGAAGGTACGCGTCCCTTCGCTCAGCCAGTGCGGGAGCAAGCGGAGGCGCGGATAGCTGTGAGCTGTGATATATGTAGTATGGTATATCTGAATGAAATATATCATATTTCATACCACCCTATCAAGATGTCGAAGCAGAAGAGACTGGCATATAAAGTTGCTTTCAAGCTGGAAGTAATAAAATTTGCTAAGGAGCATGGAAACAGAGCAGCGGAGAGACACTTTGGGCCACCTCCAACTGAGAAAATGATAAGAGAGTGGAGGAAACAGAGGATCAGCTCCAAAAGTTGGATAAAAGCAAGCACACCTTGCGTGGACCAACTGCAAAGTGGCCAGAGTTAGAGGTAGAAGTAAAGGAGTGGATCACACGTCACCGGCAAAATGGACTTTCTGTCTCAACAAAAATGATGATCTATGAGGTCAAACGCATTGCTGTGGAGAAAGGCATTCAGGATTTCACCGGATCACCATCGTGGTGCTATAGATTTATGAAGAGATCTGGCCTTTCTATGCCCACCAAAACCGGAATTGCACAAAAAATGCCAAAGGAATACGAATCAAAGATTCTGTCTTTTCATAAGTTTGTTATTGATGCGAGGAAGAAGAATAACTTTGAAATGAGCCAGATTGGGAACATTAATGAAGTCCCGCTAACGTTTGATGTGCCATCTAACAGAACCGTAGATAACAAAGGAGCCAAAAGCATAACCGTAAAATCCTCAGGGCATGAGAAAACCCACTACTCGGTTGTGCTGTCCTGCTGTTCAGATGGTACCAAACTGCCGCCAATGTTGATCTTTAAAAGGAAAACATTCCCAAAAGAAACAATTCCACGGGGAGTCATCGTGCACGTTCATGATAAAGGGTGGATGGACGAAAATGGCATGAGGCTGTGGATTGACAAAGTGTGGTCCAAACGTCCTGGCGGGCTTCTGAAGAAATCTTCCTTGTTGGTGCTTGACCAGTTCAGAGCGCACATTACAGAAACTACTACTAAAAAGAACTTTAAGGAAGTTAAGACCCAAATAGCTGTGATTCCTGGTGGTCTTACCAGCCAGCTGCAACCTCTGGACGTTTTCTATTAACAAAAACCGTTCAAAGTTCTGATGCGAGAGGAGTGGAACACCTGGATGGCAGCTGGGAACCCTGATCTGACTCCTACTGGACGGATGAAGAGGCCCACTATCACACAATGTGTGAATGGGTTAAAAGGTCATGGGACTCCGTAAAGAAAGACATTGTGTAAAATCATTCAAGAAGTGTAGCATTAGTAATGCCTTGGATGGAACAGAAGACGACGTCTTATTTGACACCAGTGAGGAAGAAAGTGATGACAATGACTGCGTGGATCTGTCCTTCCTCATTTCTGATAGCAGCGAAGAAGAGGAATTCTTGGGTTAGAATAAAAACATGACAGCCTTATTTTTGTTACTTTCACTGTTTGCTGACTGTTTATGAGAGTAAAGATAGCTCTTAGTATGTTACATGGTTGACATAAAATTTTTCTTAAACTGCTGTTAACTTTATGCAGTTGATGTAAAATATTTTACTACAGAATTTGGTTCATAATCTTTTTTTTCTAGATTTGCCTCCTTTAAAATTGGGTGCGTCTTATACGGCGAAAAATACGGTAATTGTTTACGGAAAGCATCCTAGTTTTTGAAAAGCTTCGTATCATCTAACATAAAATTAATTAATTAATCATCTTAAGAATGATTTTGTGTTGAATATGGCAAAACATATGAGGGTTGGCTAGGCATGATTTCATGGAGAATTTTCTAAGGAAAATTGGCTCATATTTACATACCTTAAGTAAATCCACGAAAATGCTTACACAAAGTGGTACGTTGCAGTAGGGTTCCTTCAATCCATCTGTTAAATTTGCATCTAATTCTCAAGTGCTCCCATCTGTTAAATTTGCATCTAATTGTCAAGTGCTCAATTTTTTTGGCTAGTTTATACATTCAAAGGAAAATACAAGTTACTCACTGAACTTCGCACGTTAGTCTGAATAACCTTTAAACTCGATGTATATGTCTGTGACAAGGCGAGCTTTCTGACTGTTCAATCTGTTTTACATTTAGCAAGCTTGTGCGGAATAAGTTTATTCGCTATTTTATGTAATTTCTTTTATTTTTTCATCTAAATTTTATTTTTTTTAAAGATAATTTCTTTTTTTCACACATATTTATATTTTCTATTTTTCTAATAAGTGAAACATTTAATTAGATTCTGATATTTTGTTTTCATAAGATAAAGTACGAAAATTTTGTTAAAATTTTTATTGCTCACTGTAGTTCAGTGACCGTATTTTAATGTGCTATTTTATTCGCGAGTCCATTCATCCGATTTGAAACTTGGAAATGAATTAACAAATCGATCTTTCCATTCAATTGGTCCTATCGACTTGAATACAGTGAGCCTGAGTAAACGGGAAGTATCTTTCGTAAATATAAAAACCATTATAAGGGCATTTCTAAATAATAATTTTAAAATATAATTTTGACAGCTGTTTGACGCTGCTTTCAAAAGATTTCTTATATAAATTATAAATATAATATACTGAAAATTACGAAGAGAATACACATACGTATCTGTTTATTACGAGAATAAGTATTTCTAATGTATGCAATAGGGCAATTTATTTACTGTATCTTTTATTACTATTGTAATGAATTGGAATATTTGAATATGAATTAGCTGACTATTTAAGAAAAATATTATGACTGCGAGAATAGGAAAAAAAACATTTTTTGAATATTTACTTTCTTATAGAATGCAGATGAATTCATTTTTACTCAACGAAAATTAAAATTTAGTAGCTAATTAATCTGTCCTGTATCGAGCACTTAAGTTCAGTGATCCGTATTAATGTGCGCTTTTTAAAAAAAAAATTTAAATGCTTCAAGAATAATTAGAAAAGGGCATAATTCTCTTCTTACCCTTAAATTCTTCAATAAAAAAATGCATTTTCAGCTATAATCAAGTGAAATAATTTTCTAAATATAATTCAAAGCATGAAAAATAAGATACATAAACAGCTTGAAATGGAACTAGCATTGAGATTCTCTTTAAAAAATATCGCGAAGCTTAACAAAAAGTCTACGAAGTGAAGTAATTCCGTAGACTATTTTTAACTGTTTATGATTAAATTGCCACTGAATTATACTTTATAAAAGACATGTAAATATGATTTAATGTATATTTGTGGATATGTGTGTGTGTATGTGTGTGGCAATTAGCGGCTGAGCTGGTAAAGTCGTTGAACTCTGGCTAGGTCGATCCGGGGTTCGAATCCCGGATCGACGGGGATGGCTGTATTGGCGTTTTTCGAGGTTTTCCCCATGTGTAACGTGCATAAGAGTCAGTTTTGCTTAGAAAGTTTTCCACGAGGCACCCTTACCCTTAGGCAAATAACCATCGAATGCTTTGCTGTAATGAAACAAACCAGACCAAACAAAGATATATAAATAAGTAGCTTAAAAAACTGCTATATTTTATGTATACTTATCAAGTAGTATTTCAATATATATAATGATTAAAAGAAAGGAAAAGTCGAATCCTAAGTGATTGTATATAATCTAATCCCTATGAAGGCCCTAACAAATCTTTCTCATTTTAAGTCGTAACCCAAAAAGGAGAACAAATTAAACTTCAGATACGTATACAATACTGAATCTAATACAAAAAATACAAAATATAAAAATAAATTATATATGTACGAAACCTAACTAACTATTTATATTGATATTACGTAAATATACGTATGGTAATGAACATTGTATAATAAAGATATTTTATACCTTGTTCTATATTTGGATCCATTTATATATACCTATACATAGATATATATAGTCTAGTTTGCGTTATTTTATTCATAAGTTTCAAA